TGAACGAAATAATTGTTCGGTTCGAAATTCAAATCACCGGAAGCAGGCCGGAGCGTACAACGGCCGAAACATTGTGAATATGGCAATGAAGATGAGGATAACAGTCCGAATAATGTAAATAATGTAAGTAATCATAATACCTCATCTCAGCGATATAGACAGATAGTGTCACATTGTCAGATTAAGTTCTGAACCGTTATGTCGTAGAAATGATTAAATATATCTTAATGGAATTCTGAGAGCTTTTTGTAACACCACTGAACTGTACTTTGAACAATAAGAATATATAATTACTCTAAAGCTTAAGAGAAGTATCGTGATGAAATCGATAATAAACGAAAATGACATATTCATCTTTACCTAATTATAACTAAGGATCAGAAGCTCATGGAGGCTTGAAATAAAGTACAAATATATATATATATATATATATATATATATATATATATATATATATTATTCTCGAATCCTTTTCCAACTTGTTCATGATGATCTTCGTCCTCTCTAATCTTCCAGCTTTCTATCCTGGAGTAACAAGTTACCTCAGAGGTTTCACGTACTATTTCATTTACAAGTCTTTTTTTTTACTGCTTTGTGGAATATTATAGCTGAAACACGTGCCAAACGTCTTATGGATTGAGATGGATCTTTTCTAATTGATCTCTTTAGTTCTAAGTTGAAATGATGGTACCTATTGCTGTTGTGACCACCGGATCTAGGTTTCCTTTCTACTGTACCATCTTTTTAAACTTATTCAATGATCTTTTGATGATTCTTGAATAGACTTTAAAGATTGATACCAGTGTATGAATGTTGGTACCATTACTGAAAGTTTGAATGTTTTTTCTTCTGACCATTGCTTAGTTGGGAAGACAGTGGGACTGACACAAAATGATTTTCACATGTTCTCTTTTTAGATGAATAACTCAAAGTGTTTTTTGATGGTCAGAGTTGGTTGAAAGCAAAATAGCGGATTCAACTGACTTCCTGATTTTTAAGCTCAACATGTTATTTTTACTTTAGTTTTTTTACACCTGAATTGAGCACTTTTTTAATACTACTGTTTCTTGGTCTCTTTCAACTATGACCATTAAACTTTTTATGTATTATATATATATATATACACACACACACACACACACACACACACACACATATATATATATATATATATATATATATATATGTTGTGTATATATATAATATAAACATTTTTTTTCATTAATACATGTTTCACTAAATAATATAGACAAGTTCTGTCTATTTATTTCAAGCAAACTCCTTACATAACGTTTGATAAACTTTCTTTCGTCTTTCAATGATAATGTTATTAAGCTTATCAGACGTCATGAAAGGATTTTGCTTAAAATAAATAGACAAAACTTGTCTATATTATTTAATGAAACGTATTAATATATATATATATTTTTTTAAGACATTTTTTATATCTATGCGTTCTTATTATAGATACAAATATTTAAGTAAATGCTCTGTTCATAATAAACAGTATTAACAACATTTACCGGCCTGAATTTACCGTGACATTTTCATAAAAAATATGCGTCCTCCGACAGGAATCGAACCTGTATCCTATACGGAACTGTCATATAGCCTGACGTGCTTTTACCAATTGAGCCACAGAGCCGCAGATATGAATGCATGAGAGAAAATCATGAAGAATTGTGGTTTAAAAACAGTAAAACCGACTTAGCTAACCGAAACTCAAATATTAATACTGTTTATTATAAACAGAACATTTTCTTAAATATTTTTATCTATAAAAAGAACGTATAAACATAAAAATGTCTTAAAATATAATTGTCGGACTTTGTCCATATATATATATATATATATATATATATATATATATATATATATATACTGAGTATAATAGCACACTTGTCTTTTCCACAGAATGTTTAATATCTAAAAACCCACTGAACTAAATGATTTTCTTTTTTCCAGGTTTTCAGACATTTGTGCTGTTACACTCGGTATATAAAAGATAGAGATAGGGGGAAGAGAGAAAGATAGAGGGGAAGAGAGAGAGATAGAGGGGAAGATAGAGATAGGGGGAAGAGAGAGAGATAGAGGGGAAGATAGAGAGAGATAGGGGAAGACAGAGAGATAGAGGGGAAGAGAGAGATAGGGGGAAGAGAGAAAGATAGGGGGAAGAGAGATAGAGAGGAAGAGAGAGATAGGGGAAGAGAGAGATATGGGGGGAAGAGAGATGGGGGAGAAGAGAGAGAGATGGGAGAGAGATATAGGGGAAGAGAGATAGGGGGAAGATAGGGGAAGAGATGAGGGAGAGAGATGGGGGAAGATGAGAGATAGAGGGAAGAGTGAGAGATGGGGGAGAGAGATAGGGGAGAGAAGACAGATAGAGATAGGGGGGAAGAGAGAGATAGAGGGAAGACAGAGAGATAGGGGGAAGAGAGAGGTGGGGGAAGAGAGAGAGATAGGGGAAGAGAGATAGATACATGGGAAGAGAGATGGGGAA